CATCCCCATCAAAAAGAGAGACAAAAAAACCAATTTACCCTCCCCCAATAATCTAGAAAACCTCCCCTTCACCCTGATGTAAAAGTATGCACACTGTGGCATCCTACAGCCACACAAAGCATGCTCAAACAGATGTCACCAGTTCAGTCACTCCCATTGGCATGGCAACAGGCAGGTTTACGGGATTTTCCCAATAGTGGTTATACACAGTCAGCACCACTGTGATTTTGTGATTAGGCTTGAAAAAAAAATCTAACTTATGGATTTGGTTCAAAATGACTCATGTTGTTGAGTTTATCTAAGACAAAGGGAAAATAGGTTGAAACCGAAACTTGGTTATAGATAGCTTCATGTCCAATTCTTCAATATAAACAGACTCTGTATTTTCAAGTAAACCCAACTTCATCCACAGAGAAATGGATTTTTCTACCTCAAGAGCAACCAGAAATGTGTAGAAAGTATTCAGTCTAAATGCCATTCAGACCAGAGGCCAGGTTTCTTCCTTTCCAAACTCCTAAGGTCAACATTTTTTCTTTTCGGGCAGCTATTGGTGACGCCGCAAAGAAAGAACTGTTCATACCAGCATCATTCTTCAATACCGCAACAATGGCACATGATCTTTTGAAGCCTTCCTGCTGCTCCTTGCTCTGGATTAAATTCTGCTCTTGCTTCTAACACTCTCAAAACACATCCTAAACTGAAGTTTGGTTACACAACATATTATTCCTTCCCACCAGTTACTCTAAAACCCACTTGTTACTTGAATGTTCATGGATTAAAAAAAAGAAACATTAAAAAAAGTGTCAAGTTCAGTCTAGCTGACAATATTCACAAGAGGGTCAAAACTTAGAGAGTATACCTCCAATTCACTCTTGATTTGTTATCTTTAAGAAAATGCTATTTGACCAGTACCAAGAATTGAAGTATTAAACTGAGATTAAACTGAGGCAAACCAGTTAATTGTGAAAAAATCAAATCTAAGCTCCTCAAGGAAATCAACTATATTCCTCAAGATTAAAAGATTTCCACTCATTCTTCCCTAAAGGGAAACACTTAAATTTTCCTTTATGGAATCAATATTGAGTGGAGCTAGGAAATGGGGGAGAGTGCTTTAGAAAGCAGGCAATCTACTACCATTATGAATGAAAATGTATCCTTTGGGCCCCTCCATCAACTCTGATCTGAGCTGGAGGACTAACAGCAGCAGCAATTACAGACAGATTGAGTAGGGGTATCAACTAAGTCTAGCGCTGGAAGGGCGGGTCGGAAAAGGAATCTTAAGAACTAGGAATGTAGTGTCAGTCAGCATAGCTGCCGAAATCTATGTCATCAGAGTAACCTAGCAGAGCTAATCAGAGAATTCAATAACACAAACAACACCTTCAAAGTTAACATCCCACTTCCTGGCACTGCAAATAAGACAGTGAATGCTATTGCCATTTCACCATAGCGACACTAGAAAAAAGAGGAAGTTTATCAAGGTGGTGCCAATGGCCAGTCACTATTGCTTACAGTTCTAATGTTGTCGTGACTCACCATCAAGCCTGACTATTGAGCACCTGTTCCAGTTGAGCACCACAACCACCCTCCTATTTGCATGCATGATTGAGGGGAAGACTAGAATGTTTTAAATCATCAATAAAAGTGGGAGAAAACAAAGGTTATCAGAGCCTGTCTCGCTTGGGACAAGATCCTCCTGTCCAGTCTATTAGAAATACAGAATACACTTTTCAATCTATGAATTAATTTTAAAAGACTCTAAACAAGAACTAATTAAATGCACACAAGTAATCTAAAGACATGATTATCTTAAAAGATGTGAATATTATCAGAGATGTTAGTGCAGATTAATATATAAAGAGAGTTACACAAAAAAATTGGGGCTGCAGTTTTAAAGAGCCCCCTCCCCAATCTTCATGAACATAACCTAAGAAAGCCCAAATGTTCTAGAGATGTAAGACAAAATTTAACTCCTAAAAATAGAAGTGCATGGTGAAAACACTGATAGTTTTTGACTATATGAACATAAACCTTTTTGTTAAAAGAATACCTGAACAACCACTTGGCACAGATGAACCTTTACATCCTTTTACAGAGTTTCACTATGAATTCATCTGAAAGAGATATCCACACTGCTATTATGTTCAGCTCTGTTTTTTGGCCATGAACTAAAACCCTTATTCAATTCTTTGACACACAAGTGCAACAGTGAAATACTGCCACTGGTGTTGTAAAAAAATCAGAGTAAGAATGTTTCCTTAATAGTGTCTTGAAAATCGAAGTAAAATAATCTTAAAAAGCTTTTAGTCTGCTAGGAACACTTGCAGAAAGCCATGTTTTAAGAAGGAGCTGTCACTAAGAAACACAAAGTAGGATCGTCTACAGGAAGAAATCTAGAGTTAAAGGGCAAAAATTTCAGGCTAATTGTTCATGTTTGACAGATACTAGGGAGCCCTTAAACCTTGCCCATTAGCTCATGATCAGATGTAGAGACAAATTACAGATCTGCTCACTGATGCTTTCATGAAGGATGTAACATGTCTGTTACAGAACGCAAGCACGTCCCTGTGCAGCTGATCTAAAATGCAGGATTCTCGATCGGCTGTCTCCGTGGCTAAGCAGCATGAGCAGCTAAGAGAGGATTGGGAAAAACTAAACAGCAAAGTCAAACTGATGTATGGAGCACTTTAAAACTCCCAACAAGGACAGAATGAGAAGTGAAGAAGCAGAGGCAGAAAATGTCTACAGTAGAGTTTGTAGGCACAGGCTAGATGTTGCGTGCTGCCTGTAGCGCAGAAGTGGACAGGATGTACTTTCTACCCATGTTTCTATCAACAAATGGGCAACAGACGGGATACAGGGAAGCGAACTGTCCCATCCCCAAACATACCAAAGCAGCCAAGCATCGGTTCCTCGGCATCCTGAACGCACATTTATGCATACCACACACGAACTTCTCCTACACTTCTTTGTTATCATAAAGGAAAATCCTCAACTCTTGTGATTGAGTTTTCGACATTAACTGGAACTTATTGCTTAACCAACACCTTGCTAGTTTAAGAAGCAACCACCTGCTGCTCGCTGTAGGATTGATCTTGCCAAAGTTAAATTTCTAGGACGGTTATTTTGGGGGTCCTTGGTAAAATTATCAAAGAAAAAAAAACCCCAGGATACACTATATATATATATTTAAACATGAACCATTAGAGAAAGAACATATGAAATCGACGAGTGATTTCAGTTTTGGCAGGCCCCCTGGCTCTTTCCTTTTTTTTAAGTCCTTCAAAGGACTGTTGCAGTGATGAAAAGGATCACTGGCCGAGTCTCTTGAGATAACAATGTGAAATAAAAAAAGAATAACTCAACACAAGTCAGGTAACCTTCCCACCCATCCTCAAGGTAAAAAAATATGAGTCACTCTTCTTAGCTAACAATTTCAGAATTCTTTTATCTCCTCCTGGCTCATCAGTGGAAGTTTAAGTCATGCATTTTTTAGCATTTATACTTGTGTTATATAGACATCATACAATTCATATTAGGCATGACAATGATTTTTAAAAAGTCCATGTGAGCAGAAAGAGCAATTCATGCTCAACTAAACCTTTTCTACGTTTTGGATTGGTTTCCTATTAACTTGCTATCATTTTAGCAAAACACGTTTCATCAGGGCTTCATCTCAATCTTTTGCTAAACCTGTGGTCTCCTTCCATTCAAATAAAAGGATGCAAGCGCGTCAATCCAGTGATTAATTTGACATGGCTTTCATTGGGAAAGGGTGTGGTGGCAAGGACCACAGACAGCAGAAAGGCAACTTAAACACTTAAAACTAACATGGTTTACTTAAAAAAAACAAAAAAGAGAGACGAGAGCAAGAGACAAGCGAGCGGAGAAGAAAATGTTACTTTAACAAATGGGAAAAAAGCACTGAAACATGAGTCAAGAGCAGTAGCCAAACCATGGTTCTATCTTAAGGTAGTTCTTTTTTTTTCTCCTCTTTTTTTCTTTTTTTTTTTCCTTTTTTTATAAATCTCTCCCCAAACATCATCACTTTCTAATCCTCCGCCATGACTGGGCTTCATCTCCAGACCTTCATCCCCAGGAGCCTTCTCGGTGGGCGGCTTGCAGATGGTTTTCTTTTCTGAGGGCTTCTGGTTCCTCCGTCATCTTCTTTGGGAGGACAGGAGTCTTTTCCTTTGATGCCTCTTGAAGCTGTGGGGCGACCACTTTCCTTTGCCTTCACTGGACTTGGTGTCCACTGAAAGTAGAAATATAACAATTTGGGAAGGGAGCAAGAAATAAATGTCTTTAAACAAAACTACTACAAACAAACAACATCCAGACTTACCAAAATCCAAAGTGGGCTAGGGTACACATTTATCCCTAGATAAATCTACCTGAATTCTAAACTGGTCATATAAATTACACATATGCTATAGTAGTTTCCAATCAGTTTTTTTACCAACACTCTAATGTTATGTTAGCAGTAATGCTTATAATGAAGAAACAAGATGGTATAGAAATGCACATTATTTTTAACCGGTTTGTGGATCTAAAAGTTGTTTATGATAAAAGTTGTTTATCTTTAAAAGGAGGTCAAAAAGAGGGAAGGATAAGATTTAATCTGAGTAAAACTGAAGCATCAAATATCATTCAAACAGTAAGAAATGATGAGGCCGGGCGCGGTGGCTCACGCCTGTAATCCTAGCTCTCTGGAGGCGAGGCGGGCGGATTGCTCAGGTCAGGAGTTCGAAACCAGCTGAGCAAGAGGAGACCACTCTACTATAAATAGAAAGAAATTAATTGGCCAACTAATATATATGGAAAAAATTAGCCGGGCATGGCCATGCCTATAATCCCAGCTAATCAGGAGGCTGAGGCAGAAGGATTGCTTGAGCCCAGGATTTTGAGGTTGCTGTGAGCTAGGCTGATGCCACAACACTCACTCTAGCCTAGGCAACAAAGTGAGACTCTGTCTCAAAAAAAAAAAAGAAATGATGAGCAAAAGTTTAAAAATCACTAGTTCTATTTGTCAGAATAAAATCACTTTTCCAAGAGGCAAACTGATTTCTGATTTAATTAACAAATTAGTTCCAACTAGGAGAATATCTGGCAGAACCCATTAGAAACCAGAGAAAATGAATTCATGCCATCAAGTGTGGTTATATTCTGATAGCACAGAGGATGGAGTAGAGATCAGAACATAGAATTCAAATACATTACTGTAGGTTTGTGCATTTTCACAGTTTCGAGTCTTTGTTAGCTGCTGGGACTGTGATACCAGTGGGGGTGGGGGAAAGGCAGTAACTGCTATGTTGATACGGTGTTTCCAACATTGTGCCTGAAACAAAAAGGTCATTCCCAAATCTTACTTATGTATGGCAGTAGTTTAAGAACAGGGCTAAACCCACCAGACTCTTGGAGGGCTTATTAATAAATAAGTGATACTTCTAGATGTAGAAGACAGGATCCTTTTACATTTTTTGTATTCCTGTTAAATATCAGGCCAATCCCAAGGCTAATAAAGAATTCTGTAGGGAAAGTATTGGTTCTCAAAAATTTTCAAGCAGTACCTTTAATTTCACTTCTGCAGAACTTACCTGTAGCCTTTAGCCTGGGTTTGGGCATTTTCTTTTCTTTTCTCTCAGGTTTTGACTTCTTCACCATCTTTTTGTTTTTCTTTTTTGAACTGCCATAGTCACTATCATCATCGTCTTCCATTAGGAAATCTTCATCGCTGCCGGAATCTTCTGAGAGGAAAGAAGAATTTCAACGCCCAACTTAATGTACACATCCTTCCAAGTGAACAAAGGAAGACAGTGCTAAGAATGACTGGAGGATGGGATTTGGGAGTCAAACGCTCTTGGACTGTATTTGTAACTGTACTACCAATTTGATAGGAGCTGTCACTGACCTCACCTGTAAAATGGGTTTAGTGAGCACCTCACGTGAGAACTACATGGCTGACTTGTGTGAAGAGGAGGTTGAAAACAGGAAGGGGTAAGACTGAATCTGATTCACCCTAATGGGTACACTGCACACTATCTGGTGATGGACATACACATAACTTTGACTAACACTGTACAAAAGTAATTCATGTAACCAAAATATTTGTACCCCTGTAATATTCTGAAGTAAAAAAAATTTCATCCATAATAAAAAAAATTTTGCTGAATGAAAAAAAAAAAAAATTCTCCATCTGAATAAAAATTTAAACCATCAAATAACTTTTGGTAGTTCCATCATTCCCATGTAGTATTAGCTGAGATAAGGGAAATGAAACTGAAATGATCTGGTATTTTTGGTCCAACTAGGAATAAACAAAAAAGAAAACTATGCACAAAGCAAAATATATATATATATATATATATATATAAAATTAACTAATCTAAATAATCTATAAAATATCTAAATCCTGTTGTTAACATTTTTTTTGGTGGAGGAGGTTACAACCAGGCCACTAGGCCAAAATGCAAATTTCAATCACAACATCCTACATAATTGTTACTTTAACAAATGTTCATTCAGTGTTTAGACACAAATATCATCAAAAAAAGAGTGCAAGGCCAGGCGCGGTGGCTCACAGCTGTAATCCTAGCACTCTGGGAGGCCGAGGCGGGCGGACTGCTTGAGGTCAGGAGTTTGAAACCAGCCTGAGCGGAGACCCCGTCTCTACTAAAAATAGAAAGAAATTAATTGACCAACTAAAAATATATATACAAAAAATTAGCCAGGCATGGTGGTGCATGTCTGTAGTCCCAGCTACTCGGGAGGCTGAGGCAGGAGGATTGCTTGAGCCCAGGAGATTGAGGTTGCTGTGAGCTAGGCTGACACCATGGCACTCTAGCCTGGGCAACAGAGTAGAACACTGTCTCAAAAAAAAAAAGAAAAGAAAAAAGAGAAAATCCAGAAAAGATTGCTGCTGCATATAGCAGGATGTTAGTGGGCACACTGATCACAGAACCTCTGCAACCCAAGTGGGTGGTATGGTGTCGTGATACAGTGGACTCTGAGCCCAGGGGACAGTACCTAAAAATGAGATGGGGAGAGCAAGCATTCCACCAAGTACATGGAGGACAAACACTGCCCTCTACTGGCAGAGGGTAACTGCTACATAGCCAAGATGACTAATATTTTCCTCAATACAGTCACCATCTTGAGACATAATCAGAAGATAAAAGCTTTTAAATCATGTGAGGCTTTGTGTCTAGGGGTTAGAGGGATTTTCAAGTTAACTGAAGTATTTAATGAGACATCTTCATATCTCATTGAAAAGAAGTTCCCAATTTTCCCCAGTAACTCATTGGATTGATTCGAGTATCACTGTTACATGGAGATGCTAGAGAATAGCAAAATGCTCAAGAGCTCAATCCCAGGAAGAAGGGATCCATTTATGCAAGATAATGGGACCTGACTTTAGAACTAGCAGCTGTGATAACTAGAAGCACCCTGACCTCATTCAAACCATCGCTGTACTACACACCAGCCACATCAAGTGTTAGTTGCATCAGACCTCCTTCTACCTGAACCAGGCAGGTTATTTTCTACAGCATTGGAGGAAGAACAAACACCTTGCCAAACTCACAGTTGTTGGGAAAATTAACCGAGGTAATTAGTACTGTACAACTACAGTGTAGCAGCACTGTAAACTAATGCTCATAGATGGGAGAAAAGGCAGCCCCAAACCTGTTTTACCTCTGTGCACGTTTATCCACTTCATGGTTTCTGAAATCTTTTAAACCAGACTGTATTTCTTCAGCATTGTCCTGAAACATAAAATTTGAAATGCCATCCATAAAAATACCTAGAGATTAGGAGGAAAAGTGGATGGTCAGCGTTTTATTCCTAAGTCAACTTTGACCTCAGACAACTATTAAGAAATAAATGTAAAGTTAGCTAGTCACCGACAGTTAACAGCATGCACAAAGCATTAAATTTCAAAGTCAAGGTGAGTTTGCATGTCAATTACAATATTTGAGTAAGCAAGTATGTAAACAAGGAGAAAAGCTGAAAAGAGTCCCAATAGCTATAATATTGGCCCAGTTCTAAAGAGGGATTTTGTACCATGTTTCCATGTAAGCAGTAACATTTAATTCCAAATTGAAAGATGGTTTGGTGTATTTCTTATGGGTATTTGCAACTGAATGCAAATATAAACTTTTATCATATATGATTATGATTGTTGAAATGAACTTTACCCTCCATAGTATAGTACTTCATAATCTTGGATATGCACATGAGAAAAAAATGTTAATTTGGAAACCTCATGGACCCAAGTCCAGTGCTTCCTTAACTAATCAAAAACCGATGAATCCACTGCCTCTTGATTCTATGCTCTGAAGGATTAACTTTTGAGACAAGACATGCTTTTTCTTTTACCAACAACAGGGACAGTCACTGTTAAAGTTTTTAAATAATTTATTTGGGAAGTAGGTTCCCCCCAAAAGTCAGGCCGGACTGGGAGCTGATGGGCAAAGATAATCAGCTGTATAAGTCAGTGTATTTGCTTTAAAATGTTACAAGAAGTACACAGAGCACACATGTGGGTTATAAAAGCCCTTTTATAAAGCCATTTTTAAACAAAACAAAAAAAAAGTTTACAAAAGAAAAAAAGATACAGAAAAAGAATTACTTGCTTCATATGTCCCAAAAAGAGAAAAAAAAAAAAATAAAGGGGACAATGCCAACATGCTCATAATACAAAATACAAGCAAAGGATACACATACTTAAAACAGAGCGCAGGAGCAGACACGCAGTCCTGGAAACCCTTCAATGAAAGCAAAGCAGGAGTTTTTTTTTGTTTTTTTTTTTCTTCTTTGTCTATGCAGATACATACAGAGACTGGGATATGTAAAAATTAAGTATCACAAAAGACCATCACACGATTCTACCAATGCATGTTGCATCTATAATTCACGAACATGGTCAACAAAATCATGTTCACTTCAACCCCATTTCATTTAAATTAAAGAAAAAAAAACCTTTTAAATAAAGTGGTTACATTCAAACTTTAACTTCCTTAGTACCATGCTGCAGATCTCAGCACTGTTAAGGTATTGCAAGAATGCCCAACCCTCTGGTGTCTGTTCATGTATCTAGCAACACTGCAGGATGAAGAAAGAGATGGCCCCGTCTCAGCCTACGAACTAGTAACATTTAAAGCAGGTTCCTCTCTTTTACCCTTCCTGCTCAGAATATAAAAGATTAAGGACTAAAATCAAGGAAGACTGGGAATTTTAGAGCTGGCAAAATGAAGTCTAAAAGACAAATCAAGGCAAACAATTACTGAGAACTTGGCTGTTGCTTAACCTGGCAAGTCTTAGTCTTTCTGTAAATCTTGCAGGAAATTAAGTGTATAAGGTTTGCTGCAACACGTTCATGGTAAACAAACTAAGTAGAGCTCTTATTTACAAATCTTGTAACAAATACTTCTGGAGGAAAAAAAGAAAAGAATTCACTAAATTCCAGAAGACAAAGGTTTAATTGCCAGACATATACAAACACACACTCACACACACACCCACACAACACTTCAGGGGGGTTTTATACATGTTATTTTAGGGCATAAGCTGAGTACTATACCCTCATACCCCATCAAAAAAGGAACAAAAAAAAATCCCAATTTTACCCTCCCCCAATAATCTAGAAAACCCTCCCCTTCACCCCTGATGTACAAAGAGTATGCACACTGTGGCATCCTACCAGCCACACAAAGCATGCTCAAACAGATGTCACCAGTTCAGTCACTCCATTGGCATGGCAACAGGCAGGTTTACGGGATTTTTCCCAATAGTGGTTATACACAGTCAGCACCACTGTGAATTTTGTGAATTAGGCTTTGAAAAAAAAAATCTAACTTATGGATTTGGGATTCAAAATGACTCATGTTGTATTGAGTTTATCTAAGACAAAGGGAAAATAGGTTGAAACCGAAACTTGGTTATAGATAGCTTCATGTCCCAATTCTTCAAATATAAACAGACTCTGTATTTTCAAGTAAACCCAACTTCATCCACAGAGAAATGAATAATTTTCTAACCTCAAGAGCAACCAGAAATGTGTAGAAAGTATCTCAGTCTAAATGCCATTCAGACCAGAGGCCAGGTTTCTTCCTTTCCAAACTCCTAAGGTCAACATTTTTTCTTTTCAGGGCAGCTATTGGTGACGCAGGCAAAGAAAGAACTGTTCATACCAGCACTCATTCTTCAATACAGCAACAATGGCCACATGATCTTTTAGAAAGCCTTCCTGCTGCTCCTTGCTCCTGGTATTAAATTCTGCTCTTGCCTTTCTAACACTCTCAAAACAACATCCTAAACTGAAGTTTGGTTAACAAAAAGTACTTATTCCCTTCCCCAACCAGTACTCTAAAACCCACTTGTTACTTGAATGTTCATGGATTAAAAAAAAGAACCATTAAAAAAAAGTGTCAAGTTCAGTCTAGCTGACAATATTCACAAGAGGGTCAAAAACTTAGAGAGTATAACCTCCAATTCCACTCTTGATTTGTTATCTTTAAGAAAATGCTATTTGAACCAGTACCAAGAATTGAAGTATTAAACTGAGGATTAAACTGGGGCAAACCAGTTAATTGTGAAAAAAATCAATATCTAAGCTCCTTCAAGGGAAATCAACTATTATTCCTCAAGATTAAAAGATTTCCACTCATTACTTCCCTAAAGGAGAAAACACCCTTAATTTTCCTTTATGGAATCAATATGGAGTGGAGCTAGGAAATGGGGGAGA